AAGACACACATTCTGATATTGTGGAAGGAACCTAAAAAATGACTGCAAATCAATCGACCAATCACGGACACAAATATTAAAAAAAAAAAAAAAACCTGAACTGCATGTTTTTTTGTTTGTTTCTTTTTTATCAGCAAAAGCTAATGGTAAGAAACTGTTTAAAACAAAAACAAAAAAAAACTTCTTTTCCCAAAAATAGTCAATGTAAAAATGATGACCAAAATGATCAGGAACGTCTTACTCTGGTACTAGAAGTGACTGCAGTAAAACGAACCAACAGCAAGTCTCCACTGCAGAAACTAAAAACTGATCAGGGATCTGCTGGTGGAGCTCGTAGGTGTTACAGATATTACTCTTCTTCAGTGAGGCTGTCATGTTTGTGTGTGTGTGTTTGTGAGCGTGTGTGTGGTTCAGTGTGTGTCTTGTGGGATCTCTCTCTGCATCTGTGACTCAGAGACAAACAGAAGGAAGGAGGAAGTGAGTAAACGCACCAGTGAGCACACAGAGACAAATGTCAGACATTTGTCATCAGTCAAATTAAAACAAATTAAACACATCTTTTCCTCTGTGCACAATTACAGAAGGGGAAACACAGTGAGACACAGTGTGGTTTAATTTTCATCAGTTACCTGTCGTTTCACAGTGTCCCCGACACAGGTCACAAACCTCACAAAAACTATATGTAAAGACATGTATTAACCTTCGAGTCTAAATGACCTCATAATTGACTAAAATCTCAGCCTGTTTAGTTGAAGACAGCGCTGATATACTGGCAGGAATTGAAGAAAGACACTCACAAAGATCCTAAACAGTTCTGATTGTTTTGGTTTTTTTTAGTTTTCATAGCCATCTACTGCCACCTAGTGAAGAGTATGTCATTGTTCTGCCTGTCTTTAATGAAACTTTAAAAGCTAATTTGCCATTTTACTAGATTTTTACTAGATCTCTCTTTTTTTTCTTTCAGAAACACAAATAAATATCAGCTACGCTTCATTTGATTTTTTTTTCTTTTTGTCCAGAACTTAAAAAGCAGTCGGTTGTGAAACAAGATGAAAAGTTTCTTTGAGGTGAATATTTTTCTCCCTGCCTTCCTTTTTTCCAAAATAAAAAACCCTATTTGTTCTGTTTTTTTGCTCTTTTTTTAAGTCTTTCTACCTTTCTACCATGAAATTCATTATTTTTAATTGAATCAATTTTTCTTTGTTTTTTA